ACTTCTGATATAAGATGGTCTATTTTGTTTCCATGTTTAGATTCGAATGAGATAGAGGGCAACGAGCATTAACGAATGCACTCCGTAAGAGTCATCCGTTAGGCGGACCCCTACTGTTCACTGTTTCCGTACTTTTTCGATAAACATATCCGCTGTCATCGAAAGAAGGCATTTTTAATAATTACGAGATCGGGTGATGGAACAAAAGTAAGCTATTGACATATGAGTGATTGCTGGTTTTCCGCCGGTGGTTGCCCATATTCTTGGTAAGCACACGTATGGAAGTGCTACCTATTTCAGCTCAGTGTTGACGTATACGCGATAGTCTTTTTGAATGGGGTCAGTACGGTGAGAAATCGGATTTGCTCGTGAAATGTTAACGACGGTCATTACTAAGAAAATGTATTTTCTAGAAAATGCTATGACATTTTAGACTTAAGGACCTGATCGATTTCCGACTCCGCAAAACACTGATATCAAATGAAAATCAGACGAAAGTAGTTGAAGAAAACCCACTAGCATGAACGAGAAAGCATTACCTGAGTCATACTCGAACGGCAACCGAAATGAGGAATAATTGCGTCCGTCCAAAAGCAAACAGCATCAATAACGGAAGGCGACCAAAGACTAGAATGCAGATGGGCTGGAATCCACATACCATCCGGAATTCAAACTGTCCGGCTGGGAACACCTCACTAGTTTGACAACTGCGATACGTGGTGTCTCGGTTTACTGGTAATTCTACTCCAGTTTGTTACAAAACGTTGTTATGCCTGATGTTTCGGTAGCTTCTTCAGATCCGCAATGATTGCGCACACAATAAAGTTTTGCAACCACCGCATGTAAGCTTTGTAAGAAACGAAGACATTAACTGTCTCTGCCGAGGTCAAATGAGAGTCTGTACTGGAAAAAATACTGCGTCAAATGGAAATCTGTTAGAACTTATTGCAATTCATAAGCACTCGTGACCTCCATTGACTGTTAGGAACACGTAGAGTACACTTCACTTTCAAGCCCATCGTATTGGAATTTTGCAAAAAAAGGTAAATTTCAGAATTTAGACAGCACGGGATAGAACAGTTTAGACAGAATAATAGAACGAAATGCAATAGATAAATAGAAACAAATACAAACATAAAAAAATAACAAGAAGCACAAAGCTCTCGGCGTTGATCAAGCGCTGGGGAAGCGCCATTCATTCGACTTCATTAAGTATCGTTGGAGGTGATTGGATGCATATCTGGCCTTTACAATGGTTGGCGGTGGCCTACTGATGTAACCAGCCAGTGCTGTTATCCTCCCAGACAAGTCTGGTACCAATTTGCCGACCCCGGAGGGATTGATGGCTTGATGAGCGACGGACGCGAGGATCGATTCCACGTGTGTGTCGCAGTAGCGCCTCCAACCACTGCGCCACACTAAAGAATGATAAATGGTAAACATGAGCAGTAATGATAAATATTAACGGATAAATATATAGCAATGGATATGGAAAACAATAGACATAGTAGAAAGAAGTATATATATATATATATACTATATATAGAAGTAGAAAGATATATTCAATCAATGCCGAGGTTAATAGAAAGTCGGACTTGGGAGTTACTACAAGATGTACCAGCAAGATATTTCCGAGTTGCAAAAGAAGCACTGCCACTAAGACAGAAGATCGTCTTAGCTCGACAGGCGATACACTTTCTCCGCCGCTGCATAAAACACCAAGTCGTTCCGAAATTCATAAAAGGAAAACGATTACACGAAGTATGCGGACTGCTAGAGGATGACCACCGAGTACTGGACATCGAATTGCAAGTACTGCGCACCTGTCTACGAAGCAAACAAAACCAGATGTTCGCTAAGTGGAAGAAGTGCGAGAAGAAAGAAAACTGTTGTGCTTAGTATTTGGAGGACCGCCTCTGGAGGAGAATAGTGGGTGGGTCAGTGTTGATTTGCAACTCTACTAGGTCTAATGCTAAAGTAACTTTGCGGAAAAAATTCGAAGACCTTTTGAGTAAATCGCTTAACACAGCTTCAATAGCGCACAAAAATATGGCTAAAGAACATCAAACAGATCACATTAGAATAGGTAATGTGCAAGAAAATTCAAGGCTAACCGTGTTAGGAGGCATAACTCTCCCTGACGGTGCGCGCTCGTTATTAGAATTGGGGCCGAGTTTCTCACCATCTGAACCCATTTCTAAGATAACCTTGCGTAGGGTCGCATGTAGTTTACGTGAACTTCAAGATAGACTCCGCAAAAAAGCTAGGGATGAAGCGCAAAATAGGCGCGAACAACAAAGAGTAGGGGCAATACCAGTACCACCATTTCCTCAACCGTTCTTTAGACAAAAAGGGCCCATTAATGAAGTTGATGTTAAATTTCGGATGTTTACGAATGAAACTTTCAAAGTNGCCTCTGGAGGAGAATAGTGGGTGGGTCAGTGTTGATTTGCAACTCTACTAGGTCTAATGCTAAAGTAACTTTGCGGAAAAAATTCGAAGACCTTTTGAGTAAATCGCTTAACACAGCTTCAATAGCGCACAAAAATATGGCTAAAGAACATCAAACAGATCACATTAGAATAGGTAATGTGCAAGAAAATTCAAGGCTAACCGTGTTAGGAGGCATAACTCTCCCTGACGGTGCGCGCTCGTTATTAGAATTGGGGCCGAGTTTCTCACCATCTGAACCCATTTCTAAGATAACCTTGCGTAGGGTCGCATGTAGTTTACGTGAACTTCAAGATAGACTCCGCAAAAAAGCTAGGGATGAAGCGCAAAATAGGCGCGAACAACAAAGAGTAGGGGCAATACCAGTACCACCATTTCCTCAACCGTTCTTTAGACAAAAAGGGCCCATTAATGAAGTTGATGTTAAATTTCGGATGTTTACGAATGAGACTTTCAAAGTCCTTAATCACTATTGCGCTAAAAGATACTGCTCCAACCTCACTGAAATACAAAAACGTGGTATGCGAGAGGTACGAGAGCTGATAAGATCAAAAACATAAGACTATCGGTTAGTGATAAGGGTGGAGAGTTCGTTGTAATTCCCCAACAGTTAGATGTTGAGATAACGGAAAAGCACCCTGAAGATGCTTCCCTTTATCGTCCATCGTCTGAGAAGGAATTTAAAAGTCAATACCGAAAGTTAAACAACGAATGGGTTAAAGTGGCAAGAGCGGCAGGGTTGAAACCATCAGTTACTTATCAAAACCCATAAGTTAGTATCCAGCGATGATCTCGTGTCTACCGATCCATCGTTATTTAAGGTTAGACCCATCAGACCCATTAAGATTTATTCAAAAACTATTTTTCTATATGGTTATCGAATCTTGGGGTTGATATCGGCGTCTGATTGTCTAAGTCTGTTATAAAGCATAAAGTGCATGCCTTGGCTGAGAAGTGGTTCACGTAGCTTTGAAGGAACCTCCAATATAAAGAGGGTCAGTGGTTGTGTAGTAATTTGAGTAAAAAGCAAGACAGCTTGTAGTTAAGGGAATGTTATTGGACGGAGTATTATGGTAACAGATGGTAATAATAACACATATGTCACTTGACCGTTTTAGCTCTCTCCTACAACTCTCTAAAGTATGAAACTTGCCAAGTGATTTACTCATTAAAAAAATTTTTGCTCTATCATCGATAGATCGCATAGGTTACTGTAAACCGGAAGCGATTGTTTGAATGGTGGAAGAGTTGTGCGAGGTCCGTAACGGGCTGAAAATTAAGCGTTTCCCAGGCAATAGCTACACGATGATAGGGGTCAAGCGTTATGTGTTAAGAAGGTTTCATTGCTCAGAAATGCAAAGAAAAACACTCGGCTTGGTGATTGCTCAAGAAAAGATTGTCCAAAAGCATTGTACGTTTGAATGTTAGTTACGAAGGTCCTTCAAATCCGTTATGGTGAGTGAGGTATTATCAGCAGTAAGAGTGAAGTGATGTCCAACAAGAGCATTTATGGAGTAAAGTAGGATTTAGAATTTCTAAGTCGCCCAAATTTAAGAAGATGTGCTCTAAAAAAAGTAATTTCAAAGAACGAGCAAATATTCAACTTTGAAACTCAGATCAATAAGGGTTATAAATCTTATATTTGCTTCTATCACATGGATTGATGAGTAGTAGAATATAAAAACAACAGCGGAGGTTACAATATGCGTAGAAAGAAGTGGAATAGCTTTCGCCTATAAATTGCCAAAAGCGACTTCATCGCTGTGAACAGTCAATGTCCGATCCTGATGAATGTTATTGAAAGCAGCGTTTAAGCTTTGGAGAAAAGGCAGTTGCTCGCGAGAAAGTGGCACACTTGCAAATCAATGTTATACCTTTTTATTTTCTGCCTACTATAATTTCGCGGCAGGGTACTAAGCGAAATACAACCACAACGTTGCTGAGATATTTGCAAAACTCTGGACCGCAGGTGTCTATGGTGGGGAACGAACACGCTATTATCTTTTCCGGGGAGTAACGCGTTCACCACCACACCATGCGGGTCCTGCGTTTCGCCTGTCTCTCAGCTATTTCTATCGATCTTTACCACAGCAATCACCTTTTGTCGCTAATGCACAAAGTAGTTAACAAAACGCACTTACTTAGTATCTAGGTATGTGCTGGTTTATTATTATACCTGTATAAATACATGGCCTACCCTCACTGGTTGAGCGGCCCCAGCGAAGTTCCCATTTTTTCGGAGTTTTGCTGGTTTAGCCATTGTGGTTCCTGGAGTTCCGAGCTCGGCCTAGCCAAATTCTGTTCCAGGTCCTCACCACCACAAGCGGTTGCCGCACTCGTGGATTAAAGGAATCAGGATGGTGGTGGATCCCAGTACTAGTTTACTTTTAGCTGGCTTTCCTTCCTGTTGGAAACGTCACACTCCTCAGCTTGACAAACCCTGATGGGCGGATGAATCTTCCCGCTGTACATCGCCGTCCGACACTCAGGAACACCTACTTATTATTATAGAAAAGAAAACTAAGATCCGCAATAAAATGCCACACTAGATGAGCACCAAGAGCGATGCGGTTCCGCAAATAACATTTAAGGATAAGTGCATCCGCTAAATCTTGTATGTTGTTTTCAAAATGATACCTTTACGGAACAACACTGCTTTGAATCTAATAATCTAATTAAAAATAAAGAAAGCCATAAGTGACGAAAGAGGTTTTGAAGAGTTAGAATGCCTTAGAACAAAAACATTATTCTCATACGTTGTTCGTCACTTAATAGGAAGCTTTCGTTTCAGGTTGTTCACGTCCCTTGTTGACTTTACGAACGCCCGTCTCTCGTACATACCGCTCGACTTGATGCTTGGCTTCTTCGTGGCCGGTGTGTTGAAGCGCTTCTGGTATCTCTATAATATCATTGGATTCATAGATAAGTATGGATTTCATTTCATCTTTAAAGATTTTATTCTTCCACTATCCATATTTTTAACATCTTCATTTATTTATTTATAAGCACGAAATAGCTCTTTATAAATGTTTACCGTAGTTAAGCTAGATGTTGATTTTTCATTGCCAAGATTAAGTGAAATTAGATTTTTTACCCCAGTAATCCGTCAATAACACGTCGGCCACCTCATGCATTGATTTTAATGCAGGGATGGTCACATATCTGAGCTGCTGGTCTTTGAAAAATTATTTCATCTGCACAAATATGCAATTATCTTTTATGGTAGCCGCTGTTTCAGTGCTATCGCTTTCTTCGGTGCTGCGGTGATTCGAGCCCACCCCCACGAATTCGTGAGTACTCGATGCCGCTAAGAAGACCATGATTTGAAGAATTAGCTCTTGTGGGCATTCATTTCGAATCAACACGACTCTAAAGAAGGCGATGACGCTGACACCTTAGCAGCCATGAAGATATATAACAGCATCCTATAAGCTTATCGAAAAACAGTGATATAGACCATCCATGCCGAAGTTAAATTGAAGTTGCTTTAAAAAACTCTGTGAATATTCACAATGTAATTACTTTTATTTGCTTTCTATCATTATTCATAGTGGAATATAATGTGAGATATTACCACAGTGATGTTGAGATATTTGCAAAGCTCCAGACCGCAAGTGTCTGCAGTGTGGATCGAACACGATATTACCCTTTCCGAGGGCTAATGCATTCGCCACCACACCACGTGGGTCTTCGGTTTCGCCTTTGTCTCAGCCGTGTTTTTAAACATTATACCACATTGAACTATCCCATGGGAAAAGAATAGGCAGTAAATACAAAATGATTACACTGTGACTTTTACTGCAGCTTCAGCTTAACTGGGTTCAACGATGCCGATTTGTGGTCCCCTGGTCAATCCCCTTGACGTGTGATTGCTGGCTGGTGGCACTGTTAGATAGAAAACTAGCTGAGAGAAAGGCGAAAAGAAAGAACCCGCATGGTGTGGTGGTGAACGTGTTAGCTCCTGGAAAGGGTAATGCTGTGCTCGATCCTTAATGCAGAAACCTGTGGTCTGGAGTTTTGGAAAATCCCATCATCATTGTAGTTATATCTCTTTCTATTTACAGAACTTTAACTGGTGCTTAGATTTCTTTAAAAAATAAACAGTGCCAAGAACCTAAATATGCTTGCATCAATTTTATAAGAGAGCACTTAATTTTATCACTAATTTTCAGTATCGCATTGATGGCAGCGTTATATGTGCGTGGCACCACAGAGAAGGCACGTCAGTATCGTAGGAACATTGTACGATACAGCCAGCTCACCCAGGTGCTGCTATAGAGTCGTCCTAAAGCTAAGAAAATCCCTTGCGGAGTTGGTAGTCCAATGATAGAACTGATTAAGCGATGGGACGACAGTTATTGTCATAATTACCATGGGTTTTGCATTGTATTATCTTGCAGCTCACGCTGCATGCTTAAGATGAAGACGCTGTTTGACCAAAGGTTTCTCTACGAAAAAGAAATCGCCACCACTTCATGATTACTTGGACGGCGAAAATGATCATATATGATAAAAATCATTCTCCAAAGGGTCTCACACTCATTTCTACTATTTTGCTTCCAGAGCTAAGAGCTCCTAGAAGGATTTCGCTGGCGGTATATTTCTCAAAATAAATCAGTGACTTTCTATTCACTGTTTAAAGTGTCGAAGAAGGTGAACATATTGCACAGGTATGGAAGGAAAATGATCATAAATGTTCTCCGATCTGGCTGTTGCTGCTGTTGTGGATGTCTAGTGGGACTCGTACGAGATCTTCAGTATAGCAAATATCCCCTGAAAAGTTCGTATTTTCTATACTATCCTACATTTTAAAGGCGCTTGTGGCGCAGTGGTCGGAGGCGCCCTGAAATACACACGTGTAATGGACCCCTGCGCCCATGGGCACCAAGCCTTCCGTCCCTCCGGGGTCGGCAAATTGGTACCAGACTTGCATGGGAGGATAGTAGCACTGGCTCGATACATCGATAGGCCACCGGAGCCATGGTAATGGCCAGATATGCACTCGATCACCTCCAAACGTTGCTTAATGAAGTCGAATGCATGGCGCATCCCTCAGGGATTGATCAACGCCGAGAGCTTTATTCTTTTTTTTATTCCCCGGTTTTTATAGTAGCTACATTTACTGCTAGTAATCCTACATCTATTTTTCCTCATTCTACAAATTGTTTTATAGCGATTTCATCTCGTATACCTGCCTCGCACATGGCTGGAAAGGAATTCTGCAACCTCTTTTTAACAATTGTTCTTCTTCGTCCGACATTTCGGAAACTGAAGAAGCAGCTGCCAGCTGAAGGCATTCCTTGGCATCTGTCGTTTCAATCTGCTTTTCATGTAATCTGCTGCATTGCTGTCACAAGTATTTTCTGCAAAAGCCTTGCATAACCTTCAGAAACATTTTAGAATCTCTCTCCCAACATTGTCACTAGTTTTTTCTGTCAAACTCGCCGCTCTCAGGTAGTTCTTCCCACAGTGCTCTCCACAGTTCTATCCACAGCTCTATCAACGTATTCGCTCTACCACGACTCTTACAGCGTCCTTCTTGGTGCTGATTCTTGTACTCTTCACGATCCTGTATATCGTCACATCGCTAATACTGTACTGCTGGTATTTTATATAAACAGTAATAGCACAAGATTGAAATCGTGTTCTGTGAAACCAGAGGAAAAGTCCTGCGTGGCATGTCCGCACAGGGCGACCAGTCAATCGAGCTTGCAACTCCGACAACTACCCCTGTTTAAACTATATTTCTATCAGTGCAAACGCCAAAACATTCGTTATTCTAATCACGAAAATTCTCTACTATATTCGGTTCAAATTCAAGCATTCTAGGTGTTGATCTTCCGCGACTTGTCAATGAGATGTCGCAAACGATTTCCAACGTTGGACACTGTAGCTGCTGCAGATACTTGATCGATACTCTTATCATAATCATCGATTCGCCGTTGCCGATCTAAAATAGAGAATTTTAGGTTTTATGATGCCACATGAAAAAGAGAACTTCGACGAAATACAGTATAACTATAACAAATACTTTCTGCCGTTCAACTGGGCATGGGCGCTGATTTATCGGGCTAGGATGGAGGGTTATATTGAAAGTGACTACTATGTCACTATACTTTCTGAGGTCTGTCATTGAACACTATGATCTGCTACAGAAATCCTTATGTCTATGAAAGTGTTGTGACAAAGACTAGCATAGCTATAGGACATTTGCAGCTGAGTAAAAGTTCGATTAGATCGGCGACGATTTCAGGAAGTGAAGAAGTTCCGCACAGATCTCGCTTGGCTTTGCAATTACGACTGGGTGCCACTACCAATGATTTATCCGACTATTGTGTGTCTGGCGGTCCATACGTACTTTTTAGTGTGTGTAATTGCGAGGCAATATGTTGAGGGATCGACAGTCGAAGGTGACATGGTGAGACATTTAACACAGAACTAAATGAAACCCTCTATGAATCCATTTATTCCGTTAGGTGCACCTAAAAATTAGTTAAAACGTTTGGTGATAGTTAAATTAAAAAACTCCGCTATGGATTATCTGACCTGATCTAATGCATATTGAATATACCACTGCCAAAACTGCTTTGCTACCCGAGTGGCAACGTCTGAGGTAAGAACTATTTGCAACTGACTACACTGTTTAAGATTGACATGGTGTTCCCGTTCATGACAAGCATCCAGTTCGTACTCTACATGGGTTGGTTGAAGGTGAGATTGAGTTCATTAGAAAAATCCAGAAAGAACCGATTTAGGATAATTTTCAGGTCGCTGAAGCCCTTCTTAATCCATGGGGAGAAGATGATGATGATTTCGAAACGAACGTACTTATCGACCGAAACCTAGCGGTGCGCGATGCAAAAGATGACTGGTTGAGAAAGAGAAAGAATGGACGAGAAAAAGAAAGAAAAGAAGGGAACAGGAATTAGTAGTAGAAGTAGTAGGAGTAAGGAATGCACAACATTAGGAGGATTTGTGCTTACCCTAGCACATTTTGCATTTGTCTGTTATTTTTCTGGTTTGTTATGATTTCTCCTTTAGAGTCTAGCACATAGTCGCGCAAAGGCTTTCGCAATTTGTACTTTTCTTTCCTTTTGTTTTTTTCTCAGTTGTTCACTAGTCTCAGCACCCCATATTTTCGGATCGGAGAAGTCTTTCAGCTGCCATGCGAGCGCCTCTTGTTTCGTTTACTATTGTATAGGTTTTCGAATGGCAAGGTGGGAGTTCCTCTTGACATAGGTGATCATTGCCAAGGGATAATAAAGTAAAAAAGGAAAGAGGCAGGGAAAAGAATAAACAGGAAAAATAGAACGAAGGAGAAGAAAATTAAAAATAGAAGATGAGAGAAAGATGGAGAAAAGATAACGAATGGGAAAATATAGGAATGAATGAGTGACATATAAATTGGGTTTGTGAATGAATCAGTATATGTTTGTTATCGAAAAACTGAGGAAACGTTTTCAGATGTGTTTAAAGATCGTGGATGATGGCTACGGTCGAACACCAGAACTTCGAAAGGACGCATTTTGGGACGACGAGTGGGTTCCACTGTACTCTGAGGACAGCGCGTGGGAGGAGAAGCACAAGCATCACGAATTATCTCTCAGCCACATGAAGTTAGTGACAATAATTAAGCGAATTCTGAATGTAAGCTTAACCTTAGTAATGAACTTTTAAAAGGTCATGAAGTTGAAGGTTTGTGGTACTCCATAAATCGGAAACGAAATCGTACAGGTCTCTTGGACTCCAAGAAGGTATTATTTTCCTCCTACGAGCGTTGTTAAGTCTGCAAAAATGGAAGCGTGGTGGAAGTATGGAGTCTCTACGTTAGGAGAGACCGTTCTCTATAAGCCTCTAAGAGCTCGTAAGCACAACTCACGCAGCGATCATCAATCAAACGAGGAGTACACTCGCCACTGTGCATAATTTAGGGCGGCAGCGGCATAAGACCCTGCCTAGTCTTTCTCCGTTTGCTATATGAATCGTATATGAATCATTTCATCCTAATTTACTCTATAATGGGCACATCGTAGTTGCTTTCTCATCAGCACAGTCTCTATGACACTTTGTTTATAGACTGAATATAGGATCACTGGAGAACATATGAAGAAATCAATGTGTATAGTAACAACTCTGCTAGTGGTGCCTCGGTCTCCAAGTTTTGTGAAAAAAACAAAATTTGGTCATAGCACTGATGTCCAGTAGCAGTAGCGAAGAAAATCGGTGCATACGTTTTGTTCTGAGTGGTTTTTCAGATTGAATAAATCTGTGTCTCAAGTTCGTATGGTGCCACTCTATACTGGAAACCATAGTAGTGCCAATCTTCGTCGAAGGTTCAGCTCCTATAAAGAGAAGATCGTTCCGGTAAAACCGTGAGTATTTATGGATAATCTTTCACTAATTCGTCCTTTCAAGTGGAATTCCGTGCTGGCGACGAAAATTAGCCCAACTTTGCCACTGTCGAAATTCGGTGGAGAAAAAAAACACTGTGAAGGTACAGGCAGTTTGAAGACGCTTCTTTTTCCACTATTTACTTTAAGCTTATTACATTTCATCGACACTGTATCTCAAGAGTATTCATTATCTGAAGACGTCCAGAAAACCAAGTGTTTTTTTTTAATGCATTCCTCATTTTCGGTCTTCTAAAGAGCTCACATTTCAGTACTCTTGGAAGTCCAAATAAATGCTTAGATTTCCGTTGACGGGTGATTGCTGATGGCACTGATCGATAGAACCAGCTAGATAGACGAAACAAAGGACGCATGATGTGGTGGTGAACGCGTTACTCCCCGTAAAGGACAACAGCACGTTCGTTCTCCACCATTGACACCTACGGTCCAGAGTTTTGCAAATATCTCAGCATTGTTGTGGTTGCGTTTCGCATAGTACCTTGCCGTGAAAGATTGTAGTAGGCAGCAAATGAAAACTAAGCGTTGTAAATGCTTAGATTTGGCACGAAGCCTTCGAAGGGAAAATTTTGTCACATCGATTGAGCTTCAACGAGCTTATATCACTGCGAATGGCTCAGTGGTAATGATGTCGTTCAATAAGGGCAGGCATCAAATTTGTTCGACTCCGTACTGGGACAGTCAAACATCCCATCTTTCCGAGATCGGAGAGTTGTACCAAACCTGTTCGTGATCAGCTCACTCCTTTTAGTTCACATGGAGACATCATAGCGCGGCCATTTAAGAAGTGCTGGAATCAAAAAATGAAATAAAAATCTCACTTGAGACGGACTTTCTATTAACTTCAGCATTTATCAAATCACTCACCATTTGCCACCATTTGCGCCAGTAGAGCCACTCACTACACCACCATGCCAAATACACATTTCTATTTAGAGAGTTCAGAAAGGTAAAGCTTTTTTGTACTTCTCTTTATATTCATGGAGATTCATTCCATAAAAACTCTTGGAAAATAACTTCAATGTTGCTGAGATATTTGCGAAACTCCGGACCGCAGGTGTCTGCGGTGGGGAACGAACGCGCTATTGTCCTTTCCGGGGAGTAACGCGTTCTCCACCACACCATGCGTGTCCTTCGTTTCGCCTGTCTCTCAGCTAGTTCTATCGATCTCTGCCATCAGCAATCATCCGTCGGCGGGATTGATCTGGGAAGCCCAAATCGGCAGTGAACCCAGTTAAGCTGAGGCTTTGGTTATAATCGCAATCTTAGCAGTTTTATTTCCTGTTATTTTTCCCAGCACTTGTATTTAATATGAAAATATTAAAGATTATTTACCCACCAAGAATACACTTAAAGATTTTAATTCGTTCCGTTTTCAGTGAGGAGACAACGAGCCGCTCGTCGATAGGATCGTTTATGAGATCCTCCTCGAAGTTGAACCTTCACGATGAAAGAAGAAAGGTCCTTTTATCCATCCATTTGCTCCCAGGATTGCCTGCATCGCTGTGGTCAGAAGTGCCTGGCAGCAGACACGTGGTTGTTAGTTTAATGGCGTGACTTGTGCCAAATAAAGTCTCCGCCCATCCGATGTCGGCAAAATGGTACCAGATTAGTTTGGGAGAACAGAAACACTGACTTCACTCATGAGCAACGATTCTGTACATTATAAAGGCCAAATATACGTTCGCCTCTACGAGGGGTGTTGGAGTGTGTTGCATTGGAATTGATCAACGCCAAACATTATATAACGTTTTATGACTTCGTTTCGCCTGCCTCTCAGCTTATTCTTCATCGGCTCGGCTGGTGCATAGCCGACGTTTGTGTGAGCTAAGAAAAATTGTTTTCCTATTCATTCACAAACTCTCATATTGCAATTTAATGTAGGTATTTCCTGGAATGGCTGACGAATGTCGCCGTTCATTTACACTACCCATTTTTAACTGGTTAATAGATGGTAATTTAAGCAGTTTACTTTCTTACGAATGTCTTAAAATTGAGTTTATTTAGCTCTCTAAGAATTCATCAACTCCACATCTTCACTCTCATCGAGAAAAGGAGCCGTCAATGCGGATGTCTACTTGCGATGGCAACGTGAACGCAACAACTAAAGATGGAGGTCCACACGTCGCCATGTGGTTGAGTGGTTCGATGCTGAACGGTCAGAGCAGCGGCAGCATGCATGGTCCTTCTCAGACTAGTGGCGAACTGTCACGAGTGATGACTGCCGAGAGCAGCGACGCGCTACAGATGTTCGTCTTCGACGGACGCGATTCTCGCGACGGTAAGTCGTCCGTCGTTCATCGTCCATCGCTCACGCTGTTGTCAACTCTGGCTTCTGAAGCTATGGTCGTGCTCTTTTAATAGTCCGATTGGAAATAGTAAGCAAAATAATAAACTTGATGGTGTGTTAACTTCTACTTCTTGCCTATTATTTTATCATGGCAGAGTACGCCGTGAACTACAATTACACGAGTGCTCATACCGAGTTCGAAGCCGAACTGAGGTTCAGAGTTTTGCGCAAATCACAGAATCCTCGTGGTTGCAGCTCACATCATGCCATGTCACGAAAAAATGATAGATAGCAAATAAAAGTTCAAACATGGTGGTTTCGATTGCAGCTTCAGCTTAACTGGGTTCGATGCCGATTTGTGCTCAGATCATTCCTACTGACGGGTGATTGTTGATAGCATTGAAGTAGTGAGAAACTGGTTGGGAAAAGGTCAAAGCAAGGGCTTTGGTTGGTGTAATGAATAACCTTGACGTTGATAATAAGAGTTTATCTTTGAAACACTTTGACCGAGTCCACCAGAAATCCTGGGGGTATTGCTATGAAGAATAAAGGAAAATTGTGCAGTTTACATTCATGGTGACGCTAAACTGAGGAATGAATATATTAGAGAGGTTAGCAGGAATACCGCTGAAGTGTCGAATTTTCAAAATCGTGCAAGAGCCTAACTGGTTGGTTATTAATTGGAATCTACTCCAACTAAGGGTACTGACCTTGACAATTCCGCGAAGATGAATTCCTACTTATCTGATTCCAAAAGGTTGGAATTGTGCTCATTTTTACTTGTACATAACAATGAAGTTCTCTCTAAGGTTGTCTCAAGGCCGTGGCCTTGAATTGTGATAAATTGAAAGTTGCTCTGTGATAAATTGTCTAACCTGTTGATTAGTAGGCCTAACATTGCAGGCGATTGCTTAGAAAAACATCTTACATTAATCTGGATTTCTGATAACCGACTCTCCCTTCAATGGCGTTGTAGCATTTTTTCCTATTCTCATTCTATTCTTCTTGTTCTTTCTTTCTTATAGCTGTTAAAGCAGTGAATCGTTCTGTAGAAAAATCCTATTGTAGTAGAAGGCCTACACAAGGTTGTCATAAAACTGCACTATGGCCAACATCAGCCTTATCTCCTCCTTCAAAGCCGCAATGATTTGCACTGAATGTGTACAGCAGTTGTTCTTTGCTATAGTTATGCTCTTCTTCATGTGGTGTCCCACTCTATCGACTCGAAGCGACTACGACTGGCAAAGAATAACTACAGTGGACACCTCATTCGAATCATTGCATCTTTGAAGAACTCGGTTGTGCCGAAACGTTAGGCACAATAAAATTTCCTAAGAACCGATATTGCCTATTCACACATAAATAGTGAAATAAAAGTCAGTTTTGACAACTACCGCCTAGCATTTATAATGTACAGTTTCAGAGGAGAGTGCAATGGAAAGCAGCTCCGTGACTCCTGAACCTCTTGCTGCCGGAGACGTAAAAGACGGCGAGCAACGCGACAGGAAATCGGCTCTCAAGTTCTCGTACAGCACATGATAATAATGGAAGAATTTCGGTGTATTTCTGGTTATCCTTTCGGTGTTGTAGAAAGAAAATAGTCCGACTTCAACAAAATCGTAGTCGCTTGCAAGTACTGCGCGACGTTCTACACAGTTCTGAAGAAGAAATCTCTTCTGTGACTGGTGTGGGATACGAAACTACACTGAATGCCTACCAGTTCCATCTAAGAGAGACAAAAGGTTATGTATAGATTTTCTCGTTTCTGGTGTTTCATTATTTTCCTCGTATTGGACATCATATGGCTAATTTTTCTGATCTAAACCGTTGTACTATTGTGGCACACTATCTGGGTATTCACAATTCTGTCAATAACTTCAAGAAAAAGCTGTCTAACTGTGATGCGGAAAGTTCAGCAATAAATTTGTTATTGTTTATAGAAATCTAAACTACCCGCAAGTCACATAATATATGGTCAATAAGCCGAGCAAACCTACAGTGGTTTTAAGTGGTAGCATGACCATTGTTAATATTGATATCCATCCATATCTTCCTGGAGCCAGGGATCGCGAATCAAATGGTGGTGGCGCCTCCTCAGTGACACTTGAAGCTTGAATGTAGACCGAGATTACGGAATTTAGTGGAAAGTTCGCTGCCTCTCTTATCTTATGCCTTCCTATAAACATTATTGCAATCATAGCTATCTAAGTGCATCCATGTATGCGGATTCAATAGTGCACATTCGGCTTACCAACGTCATACAATCAATTGACTTCGTAGCGATTCTAGGCCGTCCTCAATAAATAAACCACACGTCCATCCTAATGAACAGAACAGGCGAAGAGAGTTTACATCCGGAGACTACGAGCTAGTTGATTAATCCATGACTGCCCTCTCACTGAGGACGCTAGTTGAAGAGCATCACAGAGAAAGCCTAATGGTTTTCTTCTCCTTCGTCAACGCAGTCCACTAGGGAACTCTCAAAAGCATCTTGAAAGCAGTGAATGGGGAATTTATGGGTATCAGCCCAAGATCCTCGACGATTAGCCAGCTATAAGTGACAACGGAAGAGGTTGACAGTTCACGTAGTAATATTAGTGTCAAGGAACCGGCATCACCTTCAAGTCGGACCAGTTGGCGTGATGAGACGACGGCAGATGATGGCGCTAATAGTCGCGTTTGAGGCCTCTATGTCGCCGTTGTGGCCGAAGCCTGTTTGACAGAGCCGGCTCGAAAGCCGAAATCCTCCATCACCAGTTGTTACCGCTACTTTCGCTCGATGTTCCGCTGAATTTTGGTTGTTTTCCTTTATTTTTGCATACACTCTCCATAGCACTCTGCAAAAAGGAACATTTTTGCCTTGATTTTGATTATTCACCAGTACATCCAAAATTAGGCTTTTAAAACCTGGTAGGAAAAGTGTTCATCACCTTCGCTATCAACTAAACTGGCCTAAGGGTTCTTGCTTCCTCCCTCGTTACTACGCATATATATTTGAAATTACTTTGTATCTCTCTATACAATATATAGTTGTGGTTAATGATGGTGATTTATGCCGAGACTTTGCGGTCCGGAGTTCTGCGAATATCTCAGCATCATTAAAGTTATATCTCGCAATATATAACCTGCTGTTAGAAAGAGTAGGCAGTAAATAACAAGTTAAAAATGTCATGATTCTTGAAAGTAATCGAGAACAGAACGACATGTCTCAGAACTGGTCGAGTGCTATGCTTAATTCAGCGCCTGATCGTCCTATGTGTACAGTAATTGACAACTAAGAAAAGCAAAAAGAATAGAAAATGCAAAAATGTTTCAGCGGAAAACAGCTTCTTAAATGCTTCCACCGCATGCGGACCCCAGCACACCTCTACTTGGTTTCCTTACTTCCCCATCGTCGTCCATGCGAGTGGTTTGATTCGAGCGTGGTGACGGCTACGACCCTCATACCGTGATCTGTAAAACAATCGCAGCTGCGAGTACAGTTGATTGACTTTGGTTACGAACGTGTCCGCCTAACGTGTAGGTGGTCGTCTTAGGAGACGGCTGCATCCTCGTGGAGTCCACTCCGCAGTTTTTTCGTCCATTTTCCTTCTCATCCTTGCTGCCCCTTCTTCTCATTACATTGCTGGCCCATCAAATGATTTACGTTAAGAAATTGCGCCCAAAATTACGCAAGAATTAAAATCTACAAATAAAAAGACAATATACAAGCTCCCGGCATTGATCAACACCCGCCTAATGCCATGCATCCGACTTCATAAAGCATCGTCAGAAGTGACTGAATGCATATCTAGCTTACGCAATGATTGCTCTGGTCTACCAATTTATGAAGTCGATGCTGCTATTATCCGAGTTGAGTATAACACCAATCTTCCGACCACGAAGGCCGGGAGGCATGGCGGGCCAGGTGGATGGGATCGAATCAACGACCATGTATGCGTTGCAGGTAACTTTCAATCGTTGTGTTACACATGCTATCAAAGCTTCAAATACGAATAATAAAGGCGAAATGAAAAACTTATTTAACTGTTTCCTAACTCTAACTTTCTCCTAACTTAACTGATAACTGTTTCCCGGAGCTTTACATATATTGCACGGATCAAACTTCAACTATTGGTTTCATTGTGTTGAAGCACTCATTCATGGAGGCGGTTGTATTCATGTGTAGGCTCGGCCGTGGCTCTGGGGGCCAGATGAATGACCGCCTTCTCTGCTAATTCACATATAGGCGTGCTAGAGCTTTTTCAATAATTCACCAAGAAGAGTTGCCAACGTATAAGAATCGCGAGGATGATTTATGTTTTTGACCGGGATTATTCTAGAAAGACGAAGAAAGACTTTCTAGTTCTCATTTATTCTTTGCTGAGCTTCCATTTTAAAACGTTCAACTTCTCTTCAGCTTGGGAAGTGGTGATGATGGGGGACGAGCGTCCGCCATGCGTCGCACTTCGTCATCGAAGAGTGCTCCTTAGCGGCGGTGAACCGTTAGACTATTGCGGCGTTTTCGAATAGAAACACTTCAATGAGAGGCGACTGTCTATGTTGTCCACGATGTTTAGGCGTTTAAAAATCACCTCATATCGAAATTAGTGACGTTATTTTTGCTCATTTTCGAAGCAGAGAGGATGAAACTATAATCGTTCGCTGTCGGAACAAGTGTTGCTACGACGGCCATTGTCTAGCGGATTATCCTGGAGATTGGTCACGGCGCACCCGGATGAAATTATCCGCACGTATCAAACTGAATACTTGGATACATCGTTGATCAGATATCGCTTGAGCATCTAACTTCATTAATGCTCTTAAAATTAATTATTAAGACTGAAGGGCATTTTACAATACATGTATAAAAGACTAAAGAAGAATTAGGTAAGAGAGAAGGAGACGTTTAAGGCCAAAGCTTGCCTTTCCTAAAGTTAAAAACCGAAATTTACAAAACTTCTACCGTAACTTGTTGTAGTATCTTAAGACCTCTGGGAACCTTAATTAGATTTACAATTAAGTAGATTTACGCAATCCGCTTTGAAAAGGCTTTTTTCCTAAATTTCATGAAAAATCACTTGCTATAGGTTTTTCCTGGTGAAAAAGTGACGTAAATAGAAACGAACTATGTGAATATTAAGTCTTTTACCTGGACTACCACGGACGAATTCACGACGGGTGTTCGCATGGAATGTAGCCGAGTCGAACTTTTGTGCGCCTGGATGTCTGCTAAGCAAGTCCGAACAGCATCTCAACTGCCGATTATTCGTCATTGTTGTTCAACTCCCACTGAAATCGTAATAACCAGCCAAACCGAATTATCCTTTGGCATCCTTGAGGAGAACTTTTCGTTTGGAAACAATGAAATACGAAAAATGCACGAGATTTGGAAATGCCTAAGGGATTTCGATGTGTTGCATGTCGTCTTCAGCAACGTGATTCAATCTTACTCATATCAACTGGTCAGTATACAATGACTAAGGATGTTTAGTGTTGAACTGTTATAAACAGTTCACCTTAACCTTCATTAAGGTTATTCATTCTGAGAAGAAGTTCGAGCTATTCTTGAAACCGGTGGATTTTCAGTAAAAGCAAACAATGTCTGGCATTTGACACCAATTTTGAGACGAATAAACAGAAGAAAGCCGATGTACGTTTTCTGTAGGTTCCCGAGTTCATTTCACACCACTTCATCACCTCCGATGCCACACCAGATTGGTTGTTAAAAGTCAAGTGAAAAATTCTATCATTTGGGTTGATTCCTTTCTAGCGTTTCTTACATTGAATGCCATCCTCCAGCTAGTTGCTCGTGAATGATTCATGCTTTACAAAGAACTTCTCTTGCACTTCGACATCTCTGGTGCTTCTCACCATACAATGTAGTCCTTTAAGATCGTTCAGGGCGGTACTAAGGACACAAAACGAATCCAGGTCGGGCTTTTCTACCATTCTAGATATATCGAGTTCTCATGCAATTTTATGCAATGCTCTATGCATTTTTGACCAGTGTACACCAACCCATATTGTCCAAATCTTGTTTCCTTCTTCATATCCAACTTCTTCCATTGCACTATTTAACTTAGTTTTTCCAAATTCCAACAGTTGCGAGATTCTGGATTCCACGTCACCTATTTCTGAGGGTTCCGGTGGGGTTCGGTTCTTGTTTCGGATCATGTCTTCTCGGGCTACAACCGCATAGCGAGTGGTGAGATCGCTATTTGGTAACCAAATTCAGTACACACTGGTGGCAAACGGGCGGTATATTCGGGTTAATATGACCTTCGCGTGAACTCATTCTTCACTGGATTGTGTGCACGAGAAGAAAACCTGTCTGGCTGCCAGAGTTTTTGAGGTTTTTTTTCGCGGTCTTGCGCTGAAGGAACAGAACGTCGTGTGAATACACGCGGCAGACCGGGTGCTGTCGACCTGCTTTGTCTAAATGTTCTGTTACTTTTCCACTATCGACTCCTGATGTTGTGGATGATCGAAATTCGGAACTCAGCTTTATGCGCTACTTTTGTTCACAAGCTTATCATTTCCTCTGTTGTACATTTTCC